ATGGTTGAGGATCCTAATGGCATTCAGCCTGTAAGCCACCTTGCTGTTCTATAGAGTCAGTGAAACGCTTGTATTTGCTTGTAAAGCAGTTATCAGAACACAGAGTAAACAGTCTTGCTATGCAGATGGCCAGACGGGTCGTTTCCAAAATAAGTGTGTGGAGTGTAATAATAGTGTAAATAAGTGTAATAAGAGTGCTTCCTAAGTCACTAACTCAAGAAAAGGCTGTAAAGGCAACATCTAAAATGGAGGAAAATGGTATTTTAATGAATGTTCATGAATTCATGTAAGAATATTGTCATTTTGGGGTGGTCAGACATTGCCTTTCTCATCAAAGAATCACGGGGGTAATGTGAAATATTTGTAGTGTGTGATGCATCGCTACAGTCAATTTCTATACTGTTAACTGAGATTAAATGTCACATTTTTAATTCAGATTCAAGATCATTTTTCTTGTTTTTTCTTGTTTGGTCTAAACATGTTGAAAATTACTGATCACAGTTTCCCAGAGTGACATCTTCAAATTACTTGTTTGTCTGACCAATAGTTTTTAATTTATAATTACAAATAACCAAAGGAAAATGCAAATCATCACATTTGAGGAGCTGGAACAAGAGAATGTTTGACAAGTTTACTTTTCTGATGATACACTAATTGATTAATGAACTAATCATTTCAGCTCTACAAAACTGCTATAATATGTGTTCTTCAGGCTAAAAGGAAAGAGGAAGTTGCATCATCTAAATTGTCCAGCCAATCAGTGAGCCTTTGATCTCATAAGGAGACCGAGCAAACCTTAAGGCAGCGAGGTTACTGAGGGGTCAGTTGTTTTACAGAGGGTCAGAGAGGCTATCAGAGCTTGTCAACAGATGCCTTACGAACATCGTGGAGTCCTGAAAACAAAAGTAAACTGCAAACGGTGGATTCTCCTCTGCAGTGTGTCCTAACTGACTGATTTAAATCAGCAATAGATATGATGAGAGCTCTTCTGTTTCTAAATTATGCACCTATAAGAAGTTTATTTATTATGTTATTATAATTATTTACTAGTACTACATCCTGAAATTATTAAATTTAATCCAAAAGATGCTACATATTGCGTGAACATACATCCATTTTAGGTGAAAATCTGTCTCCAGAGGCAGAATTACAGCATGTTTTTTTTAACTTTCACGTGTGCTGCTGTGTGCGCGTGTGTGGTAGAATGTGTGTGTCATGAGGTCGTCTTGCTTTACTTTGGAATTGAGGGGTTTGAGGGGTGGGTGTAAGGTCATAAGTCAAACCCTCAGATCCATTTCAAGCAAAGACAGCCCCCCCACCTCTCGTCTCTCACCTCCTGTTCCTATCCTTTACTTTTACTCTCAGGTTTAGGACTCAAACTGTCTGTTTAACGTCCTCATTGACAGGTGAGAACTGTTTTCTGCAGGGGGCCTGAGTGAGTGCATCATAACAACACATCTGCTGGTACCCAGAGAGTCCAATACATACACAGTTTCCCATCTTAGTGTTTGAAAATGGATATGAGCAAGTGTGTGATTGGTCTCTGACATACAGTAGGACAAAGTGACAGCTTGTTAACTTTTCTGAAACTAACCCTACCAATTTTGGGGACAGGTGTCAATAATAATAATTCATTTAATTAACAAAAGTTTAAACATTTATATTTGTAAACACAATCCAAGCAACTCAGAACTAGCACAAGTAGGCGTCCCAGGGGGCTTCAAGAGGTTTTATACATCCATAGAAATTATGTAAAACCAGACCAGATGTCTATTTGATACTTGCATTTTTTTGTCAAAACATGTAGCCACACCAGGCCAGTGAAAGGGACAGGGGTCTAATTGGGATTAAGCTGCTATCTATCTATATGGTATAAGTATATACCCACTGTTTGGTTCATTCAATCCCATAGTGTTCGCCCACAGTCCTTTTCCCTTCATTTCCACCAAGAAACCAATTATTCATGAGGGATCACCCACAAAGAGTCATGTTCCACTCCTACAACCCTACACCAGCAAGCTGATACAATGTTCACAATAGTTCAAGTCACCAAATAACAAGAGAGTCACTTTACAGCTAATGCATTCCTACACACACACACAAACACACGCACACACACAGCCTCTACAGTGCATATGGCTGTGTGATGGAATAGTTACCCAGTATAATAGTTTCTTGCCAGTAAGAGTTTTTTGTGACAGCAGGTGAAAGCACATATTTACCTCATTTGGATAATGTTCTATTAACAAGGCCAAACTGTACATTAAACATGACTGAATTTGGACCTGAGTATTACCAACTCTGCCTAATAAAGACACTCCTTGTGTGTGAGACGTTGACAACATTCACAGGCAGGAGTAAAGATGGAGAGTTAACCTTTGTGTTTTTGGGTGCATTTCACTGTCACACCAGCTCTCTGTCTCTTTAAATCTCTTTGTCTTTCACACCCAGCCAGCTACACACAACCACTCAAATCAAATCAAAAAATCCCCAAGGACTATGCTCTCGGACGGGGGAGTGCCCCATCTCTTTCTCTGGGATGGCTACCGGCTGGGTGTAATAAAGGCCTTTGTTAAGCTGCCCTGCTGCAAATCTCTGATGTTAAGCACAATGGGAAGGAGCACCATAATGTGAAACGCATGCAGCAGAAAATGCTTCAATCAATCACACAGATGAAATATTGATTCTCGTGGCAAACACGCCAAAGTATATGACAAAAATATATAAGTCATATCAGCTCAGGCAATTTGTGGTTGCCAAGTACTTCAAGAATTGTACAAATAACATTTTGAGCCTCATTGCCTCCATCTTAGCTGGAGTGGTACAGTAAAGATAGTGATTGAAATGTCTTGAGTTTCTATTTTACAGAGCCAGTGTCCAGTCACACAGGTTTAACAGGTGCACATCTGCTTGGATACTGTATACAGTATCCTACCAACACTAAATTTAAAGAGAAAGCTAAATGTGTGCAGATTGCCACAGTCAGAAAAGTTTACAGTTAAGTTTCACATAAAAAGGCTCAAGTTAGCAAAATGCACCTTGTGAGATATGTCATGCTGTTTATCTAAAAACAATGTCAGTCCTTCATGAATCACATCATAAATCGCAGGTTTTACTTTTGTCAGTTTCAGATTTAGATTGTTTTTTTGTTTTTTTTAAATCCGTGATTGCATGCATCTTAGCTGGAGTGTTATAGTAATGAAAAAAAGGTTAGTAAAATGCACATTGTGAGATGCAGAAAAGAAAAGAAAGGTCAGTCCTTCATGAATTAGACCAACCATCACTGGTTTACTTACTTATGTCACTTCAGTGAAAACCGCGTTGCCAGCCTCCTCACAAAATCCTGCCACTTTCATCAGAACAGCAGTCCTTCAGGTACTGAACGTCCATGGCACAGGGCACAAATGTAAAACAAGTCAGTGATAATTCCAGCAGAGTGGTTTCAGGGATAGAGAATGTCTCAACAACTTTCCTGGTGTGGGCAAGTACCCACCACAACACTAAGCACAGTGCCTCTTCAAATGACTACTAGTGTGGGACCGGTGGATATGGAGAAAACCTGGAATGGATTTCAGAGTGGACTACATAGCCAGAAGACAGCCAAAGAGATGGTTTACTCATGCATTCAGTAGATCCATTAAAATTTAAGGGGGAAAAATACTAAACAAAACATTATTTTATATCAAAATTCAAGAACAATGACATAAAGCTCCATAAGCAGATATTCTTATTGCCATTTTCCCCGCATACCTTTTTTTCTTTTAATTGGATGAAATTTTAATCATATAATATTTGACATTGTTTTTATTTTGTTTGAATTCTAACAGTCATCATTTTGTCCAGTAGTGTTTAAAAGATGATGCAGAAGCAGGTGGTCCCATATCATCAACTGAAGTTCCAACTACTTTCAGATTCTTTAAATGATCTTCTTTCTCCCTTGAATCATTAAATTGACATTTCAAGAAGATTTTGCACATTTGACAAGTGACCATGCAGTATATTGATGCCAATAATCAAATATGGATCATTGCTTATATTCAAAGAAAATTCCTACCTGCACAAATCTTAAATTTTCAACTGAGTTTAGATAAGAGATGCAGTGCACACTAAATATTATAAAGACGTCTTCAGTGAACAGCACTGATTCTCTGTGATCTGCAGCTTCAGAAACTTTACTCTGCCTTCCCGCTCTTCTCTGTCTCAGCCGTGGTTTCCCTCCCACTCCTCCCTCGGTGACAGTTCAAAGTCTGGCAGCAACAGCCATCAGCCTGAAATGCACCTTACAATTTGAACCAGCCCACCAATCACAAGCCTCTTCGGCCGTAACAGTCCCTAGTAACATTTGCACAACAAAAGAGAGCTGATTCATCACCCCTCAAGCCCCCCCTCCCTTCGCTGCCTTTCCCTTCCACTGTGACTCCTCCTCTCTTGCCTTTGTGCTCAGACCCAAAATCCCCTTCTACCCCTGTGACACCTCCTCCCCTTTGCACTAATCGTCTTGCGGCCATTGGATTGACTGACTGCTCCAGTACTACCTCTCACTGCATTGAAACCCCCTCACCCTGCACCCCACAGGACACACATCACAGTCTGGCCTTATGTGCAGGCCCTCCTCCTCCTCTTCCTCTGCTGCTGCCTTGCATAGATGAAGCATGGATAACCATCACAGTACACTGAAGCACAAGGTGTCATTTTGGTAGTGGACTCTGCAAACAATAATGACAATCACATAAGCATAATCGTGGACACAGGAAATTAACTTTAGGGTGTATCAGCAGGGGTTGGTGTACACTCATTGGAACAAAACAACAGATAAAAATATTTTTTTAATTTATACAATGATGCCATATGACATAAAAGGCAATTTACATGCTCGGTCTCTATTCTATTCTGTTTCAGTGCTTAAATACTCTAATGCCCTGGTCATATTACAGCTAAAAGGGCCCTCTTTGTAGGTACTTAAAGACCCCCACACATACACACAACATGTAAGGCTCCCACGGGGTTTTTAGAGTATAGCCTTTATTTCGCTTTGTATTTCACATTTGGTGTTTCTATAGCAACAGTGATCTCGGAGAGGGACAAGTGGACCCCCCTCTCCATTTTGAACGACATTAACATACCCCGCCCCCATCTTGTGATTAGTGGGGTGTCCCGTACACACACACAACAGCAGAGGAGGCCATGGTTAGCTGTGGTTTAAGGGGGTAAGTGAAAGGCAAGGGATTAGTATCAGAGTTTGAGACAAACCTTTTTAATCTTTTCAAACATCTAAAGGCAGAAACAGTGAAATATAAACAGGAACATTGGCAACAGGTGTAAGAAGGTAAAAAAAAGTTCTTGTTTTTTGTAATTTCAGGGAATTTTAACTATTTTTGCAGCATTGAGAAGCAAGAATCTGTGACACAAGACTGATTAATGATGGATGGCTCCCCCCTAAACCTGTAGTTAGACTTCTACTTTTACATGTGTCAGTATGACAGCGGGCTATAACAGGTAAGTTAGTGCTTCACGTCCCTTTTAAGGATCCTCCTCATCAATCTGACTAAAGCGTTGTCCCTGACAGCCCTGGAGGCCCTCTCCCATAGGCTGTCCTGCTTCCACAGTCCCCGCCCCTTCCTCTCAGCCTTGACCTCTGCCCTGTGCAGCCGTTTGTGAAGACGCCAGTTGAGGCGAGAGTCAGGCAGGACTCCGACAACGGGTGCAGTGCGGGCCAGACCAAGCCTGAGGAGCTCTTCGTTTATACAGTAGCTCCACATGGACCCCTGCTGGAGAAATGAGGGAAGACAAGGAAATGAGTTCATGAACTATGAACTCCTATCAGTCTGACAGTTATGACAAATAAGCTATAATTTCCACCCTCCACCCTCACCGTGCTTTGAGACACCAAACAGTGTAGTGTGTCGTCTTCTCGGCTGATAAGTTTTAGCCAGACTGTTTGGGCAGGAGTCAGGTTCTTCTGCAGCCATACCCTGCCCTCCGGAGTCAACTCCACTCCTGCAAGATGCACTAGCATCAGGGACGTGCACACACCTAGAAAGAAAAAAAAAAGTGCCATTTACCATATGTGTTACAGTAAAGAACAGGTTATATGTGACCTGTAGAGTTTCATATGACTGATTATGATTAGAGCTGGGTATTGTCTGAAATTATATTTTTTGGTAACAGTGCTGAAATTATACCAAAATTACACATTACTTTAAGAAATATAAACATGTTTTTCTACTGTCTCTTTTTTTATTTAACAAAAGGAGCTTAACTTTTGAAATGTTGTCTACATTTACATTTACTCATTTGCAAGATGCTTTTATCCAAAGCGACTTAAATTTGAGGAACAACATACAAGCATCAACTGACAATACATACTAGTGAGAGCAGCAATAAGTACTAGTAAGAGCTCATAATACATATCACATCAGTGGGGTAAATACCTCGGGAAGGAAGTCAGAGTAAACAAAAAGTGCAATCAAAACAAAAAAGTGCAAGTGTCTAAACACAAGTAGTGATGCAAAAACCATGCTTACATTAAATAGTCAGCTTCAAATCAGTATCTCACTGAACAAGACTACAAATCTGCCCAGGCATTTGATGCCAGCTTCCACAGACATATTTCATTTGGTACTAAAAAATAAAGTTTTTGAGTTATTAAGGTTCAATATTGGGCTGAATTATGACTGACTAAGACTTTATATGAAAAATAGCAAAGTATGAAGAATCAAAGTAATGTATTTATCATTATACAACACAAGGTTGTACAACAAAATTAAAGTTTGTAGTTCCTTTATGGTACACACATAGAACATAACAGATACAGTAATCAAATTTACAGTATATTAGAAAAGGGTAATAAGTACTATTATTATACAACTATGCATACACATATTATACAACCAGGAAATAATTGTGCAGTGCATTTTTTGAATTTGCATCTGGGAGAATGTAAACAGTAGTGAGATAGTGATAATATGGTTTTCATTCGACATTTGCAAAACAGTGTCCATCCACTTTGACTGAGTTTGAGCACCATGCATCATTGATGTAAACTCATTGCCGGAGTCTTGCACTCTATCAAAGAAATTCCAGTATATGACCTTTGTGTAACAGCCACAGTCCCAAACGATCGCTCTAACCAGCTTTAAAATGTGGGAGGTCAAGTGGGACAAAGGTAATATTTGAAATAGCTAGACAAGAGCCAATCTATTCATGTGAGTCCTTCACACTGAAGTTGCAGATGAAGCACTTTCTAAAGCACAAGCTGCTTGATTTTATTGCTCAGTCAATACCATGATTTAATAACACAGATAACAAGCTTACCTGTCACTCTCGCTCATGAAAAGATGATCAAATGCAACAGAGTAAAAATGTAACAATGACATTTTTGGTGTAACAAAATAATAAGGTGCACTTGCAGGGGCTGTGTAACTGCCACATTTTTGACGTGCTGATTCATTTTTCAGACTCCCGTTAGGTTATTTTTGTGTAGGGAGGCTTACAAGCTGCTTTTCATCATTTTTGTGTCTATGCGCGTTCATGATTTCATTGAAATGTAATGGTGGATGAAGTATTCAGATCCTTTACTTAATTAAAAGTAATAATAATAATATTCTGTTACAAGTAAAAGTACTGCATTGAAAATGTTACGTATGAAAAAGTATGTATGTATATAGTCAGAAGTAGAACTGACGTAGCCTCTTGGATGAGAGGCCAAACGTCTTCGAGTATCTTCAACCAGTCCAGTTGCCCTTGATTTTAGATACTTAAAATAGTAAAAGTAAAAGTATTCAGTGCAGACATACTCTGTCCCCTGTGACTGCTATACAATTATGTCCTTAGATTTTTATTAGTCATGCGTTAATATAAAAGCAGGATTTTACTCTTGAAGTAATTGAGGTGGGGCTAATTTTGAAATATTTTACATCAGACTGCATCTAATGATTATTTTTATTATCGATTAATCTGCTGATTATTTTCTTCACTAATTGATTGATGGAAAAAATTCTGAAAATAGTAAGAAATGCTGTCATAATTACCCTATAAAATAACTTAAACGATTGACTAATCATTTTAGCTGAACTTGTATAAACTGTTGGGTAGTTTAATTTATAATAAAACGCCATATTTTATAAACTCTTCAAAAGTTTTTGTGCGTAAACATCTTAATTTGTAAAGTAATGAATAACTAAAGCTGTCAGATAAATGAAAAAGTACAATATTTCCCTCTGAGATGCAGAAGAGAAGTAGTGGCATGAAAAGAGTAGACTCGAGTAAAGTAAATATGTGTACAAGTACAGTACTTTAGTAAATATACTAAGTTATTGTCCATCACTACTCAAAGTACACCCCACATTACCTTTGTGTTTTGAAAGTAACTGAGAGAGGACTGGCAGATAAATCGGGACATGTTCCACTTGGAGTCCTTTCTCTGTGATTGAATGAACTTTCCCACGAAGGCTGACGTTCCTCTCAATGAAACGAGCAGGGATCTCAGACGCAGCTTGAAATTTGGTGATCTGAAGAGGAGAAATGAGAGAGCTGAGTGGCAACGTTTCATGACTCATTAGGGTAAAATATCTAAAAATGCATTTCATTCACATACTACAAATCTAATATTATAAATACACAAAGAGATTGGGAATTAACTGTGTCAAAAAGAAAAAGCTTTCTGTTCTTAATTGAGCCTTCAGTCAAGAATCTTCACAGTTTCCACTTTATAGATAGATAGATAGATAGATAGGCTAATTAATAAATCCTGTTGGGGAAATTCAGGAGTTACCGAGGGTCTGTAATTTGATCAACATTTGAGGTCTCTTTGCCTTTCTCTCTTACCAGTTTGATACTCCTTGCTATTACAATAACACCAGCAACTGCCAGTCCTGTGCTTATGTTCTGTGTGAGAGAGGAGAGAGCAGTTCAGGGTTGACAGGATGGCAGTGATAACCATCAACCCAGCTGAACATGTGCTGGACAACGACACTGACAAAGACTTTGACAGAGGTAACAGTGACACATGGAGACAACTGGTGATGCCTGACAGGATATCTGACACCATATGGTACTGAATGGTCTTGAATGCTCCCCTCTCCTAGGTTACCAGCAACTTCAAAACTAAATGTAAATGCCGGTGGCCCATGTACACAATGGCAAAGAGGTGTCCATACATATAAGCCCATGGATCACGAGTCACTTTCAGCTCACACGGAAGGAGACTCCTACCCGCACAACTGCTAAATGATCATCTGCGAACTGAGATATTAAAGACACGATGTTCTGAGACAACTGGTTTCGTCGGTCTCTTTGTTGTCTGTCTTTCAGTCCCTCCTCAGTTTCTGTTTCTCTGGAAGTCTCCGGCATGTTGTTGACATTTGCTCGATGCGTCTGACGCTCCGCCTTTTTGGGAGGGACCAACAAAGTGTATCGCTTGCATAAAGTCTCCGCCCTGTGGTTTGGTGTGAATATGACACGACGGCTTTGAAGTGCGCCTGACTGCATTAACTTGATATATATGTTATAAAACCTCTCAAAATTGCAATAATGTGCACTTTGCTCTGTGAATGTCAGAGCTATTTTCTCCTTTAGGCACAGTAATATAGCGAAGGACAAAAAAATGTTCATGCACATTGCAGCTGAGGTTCAAACGATCAACCTATTAGCCTAATAAATACCGCTGGGATCATTTTTTGTCTGCACAACTTGACCTAGATAACTTCATATCTGCAGTATAAGTCAGTGCACAAAGCAAAAAGCTCCGACAGACAGTAGAAGTACTTTCTTATTTTAATTAATATTTATAATAATCCTTATTGTATGCAAAAATATATATTTTCCACAATAAATCCCATTTTTTCTCACTTTTCTGGAACAGTCACATGCAGCAGATGCACAGGGAAACATGTTTAGAATCAGAAATCATTGAGGAGTGACCACTGACTGTATGACAGATGCACAGGAGCTCTCATCTTGTAAACTGTGAAGTCATGGAGCTACTTGAAGACGGATGACGCCCCCATTACAACAAATTGGCCAATAGGAGTTGAGAGGCAGAGTTGTCCTCCTGGCCGCCATTAAAGAATTCAATCCATGAACTGAAATAATGGAAATCTGCTGGACCCATGGAATCAGGCAGAGAAAAGTAGCCGATGAGTAGTCTCGCCAATTTGGCCTTTCATCCGTTTTAAGAGTAGTTTTACTATGAAGGAGCGCTGTGATGGTTTTAGTAAGACGGAGGACGGTGTAGCTAATTGTTTTATTTAGCTAGCAAGCTAGCGGTGGAGCTCTGGTATGTTAGCTTTTGTGCTAGTAGGCTAGGAGAGATCAGGGGGAGGGGAGAGTTCCTTTGCTTTGAAATTGTTTCAGATCAGCTAGCTGGTATTAGCATTAGCACACTAGGGACTAAGCTTTTGAGGTGAAGTTTTTTAGTTTTCGAGGTCGTATTTTTTATTGCGCATAAACACTTTTCTGGTGTTTGATTGAACGTTATTCTGTCCAGGTCATGTTAACGTTGACTGTTTGGTGTTAAGGTAATGTAGCAGCAAGCTTGTAGCTAACCAGATCAGACAATACATTTCAAATAGGATTGATGAATCGAAGTGCTAGAAGCGAACAGTTGACGCTATCTGGCTGCCAGTCTAACGTTAGCGTAGCTACCCGGCTAGTGGTGGCTAGCGCCGGTTAGAAGTTGTCTGTTTGACTAGCGACAGCTAGCTGTAGCTAGCAAGTTGGTCAGCGGTTTAACGGGATAATTACAACTGAACATCGCTTCGCCAGCGAGTTAAGAAGATCATCTATTGCCCCCGATGGTGATTGAGACAATGGACTTTAACGTTACAACCACGCAGTGAAAGGATGAGTTCGTGCTTTGTACCAAACGGGGCCAGTTTGGAGGATTGCCACTCCAACCTCTTCTGCCTGGTAAGGCTGTCTGTGCTAGCTAGCGTTAGCTATGAAACTGAGGCCAGAAAGCCATTTTGGCTAATCAGGCAACAAGCTTTGTAACGTCAATTGCATATTGGCGTGAAGGCATCGGGCCTGCAACTTGCAAATCGTGATCTAGCTAACTTTTATAACAGTGACAGCACACACTGAAGGATTGCTATATTGAAGAGTTGCTCATGAATAATCGCGTGTTTAACTTAACTCTGCAATAGTTACAGAAATATCCAACTAGCATTAACGTTAGTTACATGATGGTAACAGTTCAAGCCAACAGGCGGGTTACTGAAACCTGTCAATAACATAACATTCTTCGTAGATTAAAGTGACATTGCAAAATTATTTGATACACATATTAGAAGACAAGTAATATTGTTGTTTGATAGTTTTAAATTGAACCAACTACTCTGATTTTAGACTGACTTGCAGCAGTGCATCTCTAGTTGTTAATAACTGAGAATAACTGTGTGACATTTTTCTGGCATGATTGTGGTGTCACATGTACAGAGTATTGCAAAACTTTCAAGATGTCAACAAGTCCCTGTTCTCAACTTTTTTCATTGAAAGTGTTTTTCTGTTTGACAGGACAAGCAGTCTTCAACTTGTCATTACTGTGTGTGTGTAGGGGAAGAAAGACAACATGCAGGCACCAACAGATGAATGGTTTAATGCTGTGCAGCTGTGCTGTGTGTGAATTCTCATTGTTATTCTCTTTAGGCTGATTTGACTGGAATAAAATGGAGGCGTTTTGTGTGCCAAGGACCCACCTCTTCACCCATCCTTTTCCCTGTGACTGAGGAGGACCCCATCTTGTGTAGTTTCAGCCGATGCCTGGCTGCAGATGTGCTGAGTGTGTGGAGAAGACACCACACCCCGGGTCGCAGAGAACTCTGGCTTTTCTGGTGGGGGGATGACCCCAGTTTTGCCGAGCTTATTCATAATGAGCTCTCAAGTAAGTTCATGCAACATCTCCATGTCTTCTGCAGGTTTGACATGAGGATTTGTGATTCTCACCATATCAGAAATGGGTTTTCCCACTGGCTACTCTGTGTGCATGTTCTCATACAATTTAAGCAGTCAGTTCGGTGCTTTGGAATTGACACAACTATTCTAGGTGTTAAAAAACAAAAGTTGAAGAGTGCAATGGTTGATGTTATTAACAGACATTTTAAGAGCTGCTGTGCAAGAATTGCAGGCAAATTGGTCCATTTGTAGAAACTCTGCTCATGTTTGAACATGTCAAGTGTTTAATAACAATGCCAACCATTCTAAACTGCAGCAGAGAGTTGAATGCAGTTTTAATGATACAAAGTAAGATGATTAGATGATTAAGTTATGATAGCCTTACTGATTTGTGGCTAACACATCTTGAAAAGTCTCTAAAGCCTTGTGGAATCCAGTGGCTCTCTGCCACAGAGGTATGGACTTGTATGGTAGTATAACGGTGGCCACGCTGACCAAGTATTCTGTGTCCTTTCTCAAGTCATGTGTTACTTGAAGACAACACAGATTGGTCATTACAGAAACAGAGAGAGCAACATTTTCACACAGTTGGAAGGTTTGAGTTGGAAACTTAAAATTAATCATTGTGAAGTATGTCTCCTGAAAAAAATATTTTTTACCACAGCAGCCTTCAAAAAAATTCCATGAGTAGGCTTCATCTGCAGAACAAATTTAGAAACTTTCACTTCATTCCACATTAGTCACTAATTTTAATATCTGTCAGGCTAATTATTTTTATTTTGGAACACATAATAATCAATAAGATGAATGTTGAAATCAAATGTTTTTCGTATGTTTAATTGGGTCACAGTAGCACATAGGTATTTCCGTGGTCAGTTGCACACAACAGTTTAAAATTAACACAAGGTCTTTATCAAGAAGAAGAGGGGGTTGTTTGTTAAAAGTATCTGGTTTAATATATCTGCCCTGTTTCAGGTGAGGAAGACGGTGAGTGGGAGAGTGGCCTGTCCTATGAGTGTCGAACGCTTCTGTTCAAGGCCATCCACAACCTGCTGGAGCGCTGTCTCATGAACCGTGGCTTTGTTCGCATTGGCAAGTGGTTTGTTAAGCCATACCAGAAGGAGGAGAAGACCATTAATAAAAGGTATGTTCTGCGTCCTGATAGCGGACAACACAGTTATGACACGCCGTAAATTGTGACATTAAAGCTGACTATCCAGCTAATGGTCGGATCACAAGCTATAGCTGGGGTAGCGTTCTGTTTGAGTCAGCGGGAATTACCTCTACCTGCCAGCTATTTATTGCTCTGGTTTTCTCTTTTGAACAGAAATGCTCACTCGCAGGTCAGAGTCAGAAAAGACTAAGCTAAGATAGTGACTATGTGTTGTCACTATCAAAGAATGTCCAGTACAGTGAATGTCCTTTCCACCTGCATCATAAAAGTCATGCTTACCAGTACCTCAAGGCAACACAAAAGAGGCAGCACAATTGCTGAGTATAAATATGGCAGCAGAACAAGATGTTGTGAATTGTACTTATGGGCAGAAGGGCTGAACATTAGTCAGTATTTGGCATTGTAGTATTGATTTGCAGCATGTATGGCTATTACAGTTGTCTTTACAATGAGCTGGATATACTGTGAAATCTGACATAATTTGTTGGGAACAGTGTTTTCAAGCATGCATGCATTTTATGCTTGTTGAAGGCATGTTAAGGAAGGAAGACTATGACCGAGTGTTATGCATACATATACTGCAGTGGGAAAATGTCTCATTGGGCGGGTGTCTTTGTTGTTATGAAAGTTGTTCTTTAAACTTCCCATGACAATTCCTGGCCTCTGACAAGCTGTGAAAATTCCCGTTTGGGATTCATTGGAGTTGTAATGTTGTATGTTATAGGGTGATAGCAGTTTTTGGGAATGGAACATCATCTTCTTTATAAGAAAAAAATAGCTTGAGCAAATGCACACAAGCCTTTCCTTGAGCAGTGTAACCATAACACAAGACCGTTGACTGCATACCTGGCTACTCTGATTTTACTCCAAGGTTTTATATGTGGTGAGTGCTCTGAGGTTAGTTTTAACTCATATATTAATAGAGAATTTACAACTAGGTCCGCGTTGCTGAGTCACTAACATCCTGCAATTTTCAGAGGAAATGTTGATTCCTGAAAATAAATCAGATGTAACAGTGCAATGTAATATGACAGGATTATCACAATTTTCTAATTACATCATCAGCATGACACATTTTCCACCTTGTCATACACGAAAAGCATGAAATAATAGTCATCCAGTATGTTGCATCATTTCTATATTAATTTAGAATTCTATGGTAATAGAGCAACAGTTCAAGGGTAATGTCTACACCTCCACATTTCCCAACTGCAAGGTAAAACTGGTCTGTGTTGTTGTAGAAATACAAGCCTGAGGTTACTCGGCAGCAGCACATAAATAAGTGGTTCAGAGTCGGGGTTCGGCACAGCTGTAT